CCGCCGCCGCCGCCGCGGGGTGAGGGATCCGGGCCGCGCCGCCCGGCCGCCGAGCAGCGCGCCGCAGAGGGCGCGCGGCGACCCCCACCTTTCAGCGCCTCCTGCAGCCTCTCGACGTCCATGGCGTCCCGGAGTCCCTCGCCGGCTCCGCCTCCCTCCGCGGGCTCCCGGGCACCGGAGCGCCTCCCCCCACCCCCCCGACGCCCGCCCCCTCCCTCACACACTCCGGCACGCAGGCGACCGGGGGGGGCACCGAAGGGAGCCGGGGGAAGCGAGCGAGAGCGAGACCGATAGAGCGAGCACCTCCCCGAGCCACTACCACCAGCCCTCCAACATGGCGCCCGCACGTCACCGCGCGCACGCTCCCCACCGCCGTCCTCGCGCCCGCCCCAGAGCGCGTGCGCGGCCGCGGCGCGCCGCCCGGGCCGAGAGCGCGTGCGCGGCAGTGGCGCGCGTCGGGCCCCAGGGCGCGTGCGCTGCGCCGCCGGTCGTGGCCCGGTTCCGCGGAGGCTGCAGCCGCGCTCCCGGACTGGGCGAGCCCGACTTTGCCTGCTGCGGGGCCCGGCGACGTTTGCCTGGTCTGTCCGAGCCTGGTCTTCCCCAGTCGCACAGTGAAAGCGCGGTGCCCCACTCTGCCCGGGGCCGACCTCCGAGGCCGTGAGCGCGCGGGAGCCGTCAGGGTCCTGGCACCCTCTGCCGCACCGCTCGGCCGGCCGCTGCCGCCCACCAGGGAGCCGCGCGCTCGGCCCAGGGCTGGAGGCAGGCGCTGGGTCCGGGGGTCCACGTCCCGCTGCAGCCCGCTCTGCCCGCGTGACCGTGCCCTGGTTACCCGAGCTCGGTTTCTCACCTGCGCTTGGGACCCGAGGATGGGGGAAGTGGTAACGCGCCCGCCGACCCCCGCATCGCCTAGGCGCCGCGGGAGGGCAGGGACCCCAGCCCCGGCGGGTCACGGTGCGCGACCGTGACAGTCCCCGAGCAGAGAGCGCGGCGAGGCTCCGGCGTGCACGCATCTTTAGACTTTGGTCTGAGTTCACAAAGTCACTCAGTCCCTGCTTTTCCCCAGGACCTGTGGCAGAGTCGTGGAAGGGCGGGAGGGAAGCAGGGAAGAGGCCCAGGGCTTGGCTTATCTCAGAAGGTGCTCCTCTCGACACTGTTGACAGTCTTAAAAAATAATGGCTTTGACCCTGACCCTCACCCTAAGCAGTACTTGTAGGAAAAAGCCCCTCATATCCAAAACATCTCTCTCAAATTTCCCCACCTGAGAACAAGTCCTCTGTTTAACTTCCTCAAAGCATCCAGTTCCATTTCAAATGTCCCTGGGCTCAGGGTGCAGCTCAGTGGTACAGCTCTTCCCTAGCATATGGGGGCCCTTGGTTTAATCCCCAGCACCACAAAGCAAAACATGCAAAGGGTGAGGAGTAGAGTGGTATCATCAAGCGCTCAGTCGATGCTTACCATGCCTGGGGTTTAGTTTATCTCGGTCCCTCGTGGTCTGAAGGGATTTCCTGCTTCCAGAGTACAGCTCAGCCTCCCCTTCTCTCTGCCATCTGGTCTACTCTTGCAGCAGGTCTCCTACCTAAGAGCTAAGCTGCACAACACAGTTGCCACTAGCCATGTGTGGATACTTAAATTTAACATAATTAAAATAAAAATTTAAATTCAGTTCCTGAGTTCTTAAATGAAATTCAATTCCTCAGTCACGATAGCCACATTTCAAGTGCTTTATAGGCACACGTGGCTAGTGGCGTCTGAATTGTACAGCACAGTCAAAGAGAATTCATTAGTCCAGAAAATTCTGTTAGAACTTTATATTAGCAAACAAACAAGTTAATTTCTCCCTCTTTACTTTGTCCTTTCCATCACACTCAGTTTCAGACTGAATTTCTTTTGACTCTTCAGAGCCCACTTGGCTCTTCATTTTTGAGGGGTGCTGGTGGGGAGGTTAGGGTCTCACCGAGTTGCTTAGGGCCTCACTAAATTGCTGAGGCTGGCTTTGAACTCTTGATCCTCCTGTCCCAGCCTCCCAAGCCACTGGGATTACAGATGTGCACCACTGTGCCCAGCTCTTGTTTTGTTTTTTGATAGTGCTGAGGATGAAACCCAGGGCCTTGTGTGTGCTAGCCAAGCTCCATATCCCTGACTTACACCCCATCCCTCTTCTCTCTCATTTCAAGGCCTTTGATTTTTCTGTCTTAAAGTTTTTCCTTAAAACAATTCAGGTTTCAATTTAAACACCACTTCCTCTGGGATACTTCCCTGGTTCCCTTGGGCTGCCATTGTTGTGTGCATATACCTGATGCAGTGTTTGGAAGTTGAGATGACAAAGGAAGGAGAGGTAAGAGATGAGGCTAAGGAATTACTTGCCTTGGTTCATTTCTTCCTTGGAATTCTCCAGCCCCCATGTGTCCCCATGTCTGCATTGCTGGAGCCTTGGACCAACTCTTGCTAATTCCCTTGGAGGAAAACAGAATTAAAACATGGCTGCCAGCACCCACCCTTGTCAATGATCCTGCCTCCTGGGATTTCTGCCTTTGAATAAGCTTCACCCAAGCTGAATCAGAGTACTTCCAATGAGTATGGCGGAGGGGATGACATGTGATTTCTGAGGCTAGATCTCCAAAGGTCCAAGGCCTGTTAGATTGCTCAGTGGGTCTTGATGGGGAACCCAGCTGCCCTGACTGTCAGTCCCTTGGAGAGACTCACAGAGGGAAGCACCAAGGCCTTTGGAGTGGATCCTCCACCTCAGGAGTCCCTTCAGATGACTTCACACCCAAGTCACATCAGGATCACAACTTTAGGAGAGATCCTGTGCTTGAACAGCCTAGTTAAGTCATTTCCTGATTCCTTATGCAAAGAAACAATGAAAGACAAGAAATGTTTATAAGTGTTCTTAGCTTCTAAGTTTCAGTATGATTTGTTATGTGGCAATAGAAAACTAATGTAACAAATAAGAAATTAAATAGTAACAATATTAAGTTTTTTTTTCTTGGTGCCTGGCACTATTCTAAGAACTTTACAAAAGTCCTTTGAGATAGTGACATTATTATCCCCACGTCACAGAAAGGGAAACAGGTATAAAGTGGTAAAATAACTTGTGGAAGGTCACATAACTACCCAGGCCAGGGACTCACCTGTGAGTCAACCCCAGGCTGGCTTCTGAGTCCCCAAATACTGTCTCATCCTCAAGAAGTTTACAAAATGCCAGGAGAGACGAGACATAAGTACAGACCCTGATGCAGGCCAGCAGACGAGTATGTGAACCAGGCATTCGGAGGCCTGCCAAAACTCTCCCAGGCAGGTAGGGAAGGTGTCTTTTATTTGTATTCATTTTTATTTCTTATTTCTGTATTTATTTATTTGTTTGAGACAGAGTCTCATGGTGTTGCCCAGCGAGAATGGGCAACTCTTAATCCTTGGCCTCAGCTGCCCAGGCAGCTGGGATCACAGGTGTGTAGCACTCTTCTGGCTAGAAGTGGCTTTTCAAGAGGGCCTCACTTAAAGACTGGAAAGATGGGTGCCCACAGAGAAGAGCCCTTCAGAAAACAGGAATAAAGTGGAAGGAGATATAAAGAAGGGAGGAGACAGTGGAGAATCTCTCTTTCCCCATGGAGCTCATGGTCGAATGGAGGAGGTCAACCTTAACGATTTCAAACATGCAGAAAGACTGGCCAGAGGGAAAGACCCGACCTGGAGACGATGCAGTGTTGGTAGTGGAAGATGGAAACAGAAGAGGAGGAGAGAAGGGCCAGAACTAGGTCAGAGAATGTGTGGGAGGATCCTTTTATAACCCTAGCAAGAACTTATGGGTTTGGTTGTCCTTCTGAGAGGAGTCTGTGGGAAGGAACAAGAGGAGACTGAGAACAAATCTAGAAAAACTAACATCCAGTTGGAGAAGGGGAACAGTCTGGGTCAAAATACCACTCTCTGGGCTGGGGTTGTGGCCCAGTGATAGAGCACTTGCCTGGCATGTGTGAGGCACTGGGTTTGATCCTTGGCCCCACATAAAAAAGAATAAAGAAAATAAAGGTATAAACAATGTAAAAAAAATACCACTCTCTTTCTGCTCAGCACAAGAAATAACAAAGTGAAGAGAAAACTTACATAATAGGAGGACTTGTTAAAGGTTCATCATCATTAACCATCAGTGAAATGTTAATCAGAACCACCATGAGATGAGACCTCTGTGCAGTAAGAATGGCTAATATCAAAAAGATTTGAAATAACAAGGGCTTGCGAGTGTGTGGGGAGAGGGGAGCCCTTGCACACTGTTGGGGGCAGGATAAATTGCTCAGCTATTATGGAAAAAAAAAACGTGTGGCAGTTCCTCAAAATTTGAAAAATAGAACTCCCATATGATCCAGCAATCCCCCTCCTGGATCTGTATCCAGAGGAAGTGAGACGGGTATGTTGAGGAGACATCTGCTCTCCCGTGTTTACTGCGTCACTATTGACAGCAGCCAAGACATGGAAACAGCTGAAGTGTCCATCAATGATGGATGGACAAGGGACATGAGGTACCTATATACAATAGAATATGATTCGGCCATAAAAGGGAAGGAAATCCTGCCATTGGTAATAACATAGGTGGAAATGAAGCTCTTCATCTTAGGCAGAATAAGCCAGGCCCAGAAAGAGACAAGGACCAAGTGATGCCACTCATAGGTGCAATTTCAAAAGGTGGGTCTTGGAGATGTTGAGAGTAGAATGGTGATTAGCAGAGGCTGGTGGGGGGACAGAGGGAGAGGGTGATCGATGGGTGCTGAAGCTGCAGTAGGGTCCAGGAGCTATGGATGATAATAATGTACGGGCTATTTCAAAAAGCTAGAAGAAAGGAATTTTAGTGTGTTCACCATAAAGAAATGACAAATGCAGTTCCTGCAAAGCTGTGCTGCTCTATGCCCATGACACTAGCAAGAACCCAAGAGCTGAGCACTGGTACATCGCCTTCATCTGACCACCAGGCCTCTCTTACCGCACACCCATCCACTCAGTGGTGTCCTTTATAAGACAAGAATCCAGGCCAGACTCGTATGTTTCACTCCATTTCATTTTTGCTTGAGACAGGGTCTCACTATGTTGCCTGGCTATTTTCAAACTCCCGGGCTCTAGCAATGGTCCTAACTCAGCCTCCTGGGTGCTGGGACCACAGGTGTGCAGACCCCTCCATGCCCACCTTTGCTTCACTCTCTAAAAAGAAATCCATTATTGGACTTAGGGCTCACCCACGTCATGCAGAATGAAGTCCTCATTGAGGACCCTTAATTTAAATGACATCTGAAGGCCCTTTTTTCAAATAAGGGAGACTTCCTAGGCTCCAGGGAATGGGGCTTAGCATTT